GCTGGGGAGACAATACCCAGACACAAATCACATTACCAGGCAGAAATACTGTAGGTGCTGTTTGCCTGCTTGAGATGCAGCAGGTTCACCATCGGGTCCCCAGCACCTGCTACTTCGGGGGTGCTAGACAAGTGAATGTGGAAGGCAGGCAGGCAGGCTTTATAAGGCAGCAATGGTGCCTTATATTATTATTATTATTATTATTATTATTATTATTATTATCATCATTATTATTATTTTAAAAGCCTTACCTGTGAATCAGAGGACCCCTGGTCTGGCCCTGCCACTAAGTAGTTATGGGAAAGTCACTTAATATCCTTGATCCCCAGTGGCCTTAACTGTAACAGTCAACCTCCCAGAATCACCACCAGGTGCAAATAAGAGAATGTGCACATAATGGGCACTCTGTTAACTGCATGACACTACAGCAATGACAAGGAGGATTCTCGCCAATGACACACGTAATGTCACTTGATTGGACCTCCAGAAAAGCCTAGGGGGTTGGGGAGCTACTGTCACCATCTTACAGGAAAGGAAGGTATAGTTCTTTTCCAAAGGGGTCTGACGACCAATAATCAGCACAAAAGTTAGGACATAAACCTAAACCAGATGATGCCAAAGTCTGAGCTCTTTCTCTAGTTAGGAGTATTATTACAGAAGTCCCATTCAATGGGATCTGAGAGGAAAAGTCAAATTTATATGGCCAGAGGGAGAAGGGGATTCACCCGTGACTCATTCACACATCAAGTCCTAGATGCTAAGAATCTATATAAACCACTTTCAGGGCCTGACCAAAGCAAGCCCTGAGCCCACGCTGATTTAAAAAGAATACTGAGCATTTTTCCATATTAAAATCTTCGCCCCTGATACTCTTCATAGTGCGGTACAAGGCAAATTGAGAGGAGGCTAGGTAGGGGGTGATACTTCACTGTTTTTGCTCCTAATCTCTCTGCTGCTAGAGTCATTAAACCTTTACAAGGCAGAGATAGGAACCGCTGCTTTGCGGATTTGGAAGGAATTCCCATTATGCTATAATTCCAGAATCTGAGATACATCTGAAAAAGAAGTCAAAGCGACTAGATTTTTCCATATCTCCTGCCATCAAAAGGTGTCTGCTTTCTCTATAACTTCTGATGATTTGCACCTCCCGGTCACATTTGAAACGGCACCGCCACCCCACTCCTTTGCTGTGGGGACACTCAGACTGGAGCAGGGGCGTGCAAGTCAGCCAAGGATTCTCTTGTTGTTTTAAACAAACCTGAGGTCGGCAGGAGAAGGCCCGGGCAGCAAATATCAAGATGATTAGATTTCCAGACCGGGTTCCCCACCCCCACCCTCCCTGACTGTCACTCACGCCCTCTGATCAGAAGCAGATCCTGGACGGAGGCAGCCAGGCTCTGTGACCAGTCATGATGGGGAAGTGGGAAACGTGTTGTTGTTGTTTAATTTAAGCTGTATATAGCTTTTCCAGAATCGGGTGCACTAAAGTGAATTACTCATTTCTCCTCTGAGGTCTTGCCTCTGCTTATTTCCATGAGTACTCTAGTACTTAATGGCAGGGAAGTGGGTAAGCAGACCTCGTTATGAGCCCACATCTCACACATGCCCCCAGCTGGATCCAGAGGTAAAGGTCCTTTTGCAAAGAGCACGGGAGGAAGAGTCAAGAGATCTGGGTTTTAGTGAATTAACTACAAGGAAAGAGCGGGAGCGGCAGGATGGGTCCCAAGGCTGGCGTTCCTTTCCTGATTCTATTTTTATTAGACATGAGGTCTTTGCAAAGTCACTCCACCACTTTTTGACTGTTTAGTCACTTATAATGAAAACAGTTAACGTTTATCAAGGATGCCCCAGGCACCAAGCACGGAGTTACCTTACATGCATCATCTCATTTAATTCTGAAAACCTTAATAAGGAGATGTATTATCTCCATTCAACAGATGGGCCTACTGAGGCTCAGTTAATTCACTTGTTGCATACACACTGCACAGCGGGAGTTCAGAGAGGCACCGGAGCACATGCCTTTAACTCCAGACTATATGGAGGCAGGTTACCTAGCTGTCAGGGTTTCCGCACGGGTGAAATGCTTGAACACAGTTTGTAGGTTTCTATGGCACACAGTGGCACCTGACGAAGGACACTAATTATTATCTGTTTTGCCTGTTTTGTTTTGGGTTTCGGCGGGGGGAGGAGCACGGAGAACTAGAGGAAAGCACTATCCAAACCTATTTTGCTGACACCGTATGGGATGTGGAAGCAATGCCGTCGCTCATCCTATAACCAAGGTCACAGCGCACAACTGACCGTTTCAAGGAAACCTGGGAGGTCAGGGAGGCTTTTAATTAAAACACCAACATGACATGAGGAGAAGAGCAAGCCAAACTAAACTCCTAAAAGCAGATTTTTTTTTTCAGAAATGCTAGCATTTCAAGAGGAAGGGGCTGGTCTTGGCCGACAGCAGGGAAAGAGCTGCTGACCAGGAGTTTTGCTTGAGGAAGGAAGAACAGACGAGAAGCACAGCCCTCAGAAAAGCCACTTTGGCACCCCATGTCCATCTGCTACAAAGTCCGTTCCCACGAATGATGGCATCTGATCCTTATAGCAAGGCCCATGAGTGAATCTGAACACAGGTAAGGAAAACGAGGGCTGGACAGAGTCAGAATTTACCTGATTCACGTAGCTGGGGTGCCACGGCCTCTGAAGAGTGCCTCGCTCCCGTGCTGGGTCTGGGAGCAGTCCCACTAGGCAAGCCGAAGCCAAGAACAATTGCATGTAGAAAGAGCAAAGGGCATGGGGCGCCTGGGTGGCGCAGTCGGTTAAGCGTCCGACTTCAGCCAGGTCACGATCTCACGGTCCGCGAGTTCGAGCCCCGCGTCGGGCTCTGGGCTGATGGCTCAGAGCCTGGAGCCTGTTTCCGATTCTGTGTCTCCCTCTCTCTCTCTGCCCCTCCCCCGTTCATGCTCTGTCTCTCTCTGTCCCCAAAATAAATAAATGTTGAAAAAA